TATAGGTTTACCTCGCACTCAGTGACTAAATGACATGATTTGGGTTATAGTATATTGGATATAAAATCGACTTATTCTACTCTCGCCAAGGTTTCCTATTCAGCGGAGGATAATAGACAGTTGTACTTGAGAGAAATGGTGAAGTTGTATGGAGTGCCTTTGTCAAATATTTCCTATTGTGGTACCCATTTCACTTCTTTGTTTTTGAAATCTTTCCCTTTGTTACTCATATTAAGCTTGAAGACCTTTAATCCCCAAACTGATTTGCAAGTGAAGTGTATTATACAAATGTTAGAGGAAATGTTGAGAGCTTTTGTGATTGCTTTAAGAGTAATTGAGATGATCATTTGCTATTGAGTTTTCTTATAACATTAGCTATTACTCGAGTATTGATATGAATCCATTAAAGACGTTATGTGGTAGGAGGTGAAAGTCACATATAGGTTTGTTTGAGGTGGGGGAGGTTGCCTTAATAGATCTTAAATTTTTATTTGCCTATGGAGAAGGTTTTATTTAGAAATGAATGGTTCAAAATGGCTCAAAGTCGACTGAAGTCATATGCTAATGTTAGAAGAAGAGATATTGAGTTTTATGTTTTTGATTGGGTTTACATGACAATTTCACCCATGAAGGGTCTAATAAAATTAGGTAAGAAAGGGAAAGCTTATTCCCTGTTATGTATGCCCAAATAAAACTTTGAGATGTGTAGGTAAGGTTACTTATGAACTAGAATTGCCTAATGAGTTCGCATTGGTGCATACCATTATCCATGCCTCTATGTTGAAGAAATATGTTGGATATCCGACATCCATAGTTCCCTTTGAAGGTTTGAGAGTTAAGGAGAATCTTTTTTATGAAGAAGTGTGGTTGATATTTTAGACCGACAAGTGAAGAAGTTGATAAACAAGGAAGTTACTTCAGTGAAAGTGTTTTGGAGGAATCAACTTGTTGAGGGAACTACTTGGGAGGTCGAGGCCGATATGATGTCCCATATCCTACTCTCTTTCATTCTAGTCCTATTCTAGCTTGAGGAAATGAGTTCCTAATACTTTGTTCCTTGTTTTGATGTCGTGTGTCATAAATGTTTCCATGATTTCCTTATTCATGCATGTTCATGGAAAAACTTATGTTTTTAAAGAAAATAAGTTTACATGATTGACTTTACTCATGTTAATATGCGTTAATGACAAGTTGCTTGTAGTTGATGTTTTCTCCAAGGATATATGCATTTGAGTATGAGTTGCATATAGTTTTTGTGATATGATGATCAAAGCATGCTTTAGATTTGAGTCTATATTTTCCTCTGATATGTTCAATTTGAGAGTTTCATTCATGTAGTGTTGCTAGATTGTACCTTCTCTATAATGTTTTTAAGTATGTTTTAACTTGGAGTCGATATCCCTCCATGGTTGTATTTTATTTTATTAGGTTGAATGAATGATATGTTGGTTTTTTTAGAGTTATCTTTGCTCTAAGTGATGTCTAATATCTCATTTGACGACGAATGATCTCAAAGGGGAGATAATGTAACACCCCAGATTTGAGAAGGGGCAGGACAACTATTTCAGAAGTTCATGGTGACAACCCGCGAAGGCCATACATGACCCTTAGATGAGACCACAAATTGTATGTTTGGTCATTGGCTACCTTAAATCTTGACTTAGAGGTCTAGAACCACGATCAGACCAACCGAATTTTTGTTGGATCACGGTCCCTGGTTGAGGTCATGTTGTACAACTAAGTTCCAGTTTCTGACTAATTTAACAGTCGTGCGGGATGGACGATTTGTCAGATCATAGTCCGTCAACATAGGGTCGTGATTGGCAGGTCCACAATTAGTTAAAGGGTAGTTGGTACGTTCCTAATTATTACATCCCTATACTACGTCGTTTTACCTTTCACTAAGATCCTGTATAAATGTGTTAAACCCCAAATATTGCAAATTAAAAATAATACTCTAAGATTTCAAAATGAAGAAAAGTTCTTCTTCCCAAAATATTTCTCTCTCCGGAAAGCTTAAAGATGAAGGGTTAAGCTAAGGTTGTAAGTTAATAAAGAATTTGCAATGATATATGATACTTTTCATCCATGAATTCCTTCCATTCATGGAGTTCCCAGATCCCTATTTTCAAAGTTAGAAATCCCCAATTGAGTTAGTGTTTCCTTCAATTTCCATGGCTTTTCTTGGTCATTGATTTAAATTATTGGATTATGATCTTAGCATGAATTAATGAAATACTATAATTTTATGATGAATCCCCTATGAACCCATGTAATCTCAATGTTTTTCAAATTATGATTATACAATGTAAGATTTTAATTATGAAAGACGAGTCTTATGAAAGAAAGCATGTATCGGTGGAATTACATGAATTTATGATGAAATACATATCTTAACAAATGTTTTCTAAATGTTGATGGTTGAAAGTGGATTGTGAACATTTAAATGTAAATCATGGAACAATAGATTTTCTATGAAATCAATATGAATGTTTTAGCGATGCTTTGAGAGGGAAGTATAAATTATGATGTTATTGTTGTTATGTTGGAAGGATTTTTCTCATTAACACTTAAAAGCATGATTATGGTTGAATGGCCTTCTCACTTAATTGAATCCAAAGTAAGAATTATCCTAATGAAACCTAGCTTTGATTGGTTATGAATGACATCTTTCCATGGATTGACTTGTCACTTATCTTGGATTTGCAAGATAATGTTTCCTTCTTTGGATAATAAAAACAAGTAAGAAATTACTATTTCGTTGGATTTATGCTTAGAATAGAGAGGATATTGATATGGAGGCTTTCATATTAGTTGAGGTCATGTTTCCAGTAGAAATCTCGTTTTCCCATACCTATGTTCCCCAATAGGAAGATTGTTGAGATATTCATAAGATGGTGGATCCACGTATGTTAGATGTTCATTTTCCTTACCTTGCCAAGTAGGACAACTTTTTTTTGGTGGGGTAAACCCGACGACATGTTATATCTCACATGGTCTGTATGCCGGTTAAGTCTACTTCCAAGAATAATAATAAACTAATGTTACTTCATGAACTATATCGTGTATATTAAAATGTTTTAAATATGTTATCTTGCATTGTCCAACTTTTATGAATCCTATTTTCTAACTTTCATATATCATGTTTTAGCTTTATCAATTTCATGTCATGAAATTTCCAATTTTAGCATGATTAAAATATTTTATGCATGGCTATCATATTTTGTACATTGTTTTGTACTAACACATAATCTTACCTATAGTTTCCCAAATGTAGAGGCCAACAGTCTGAGTCTTTGTATTTCGTGGCTAGTGGTTGATTGTAAGATTTTCGAACTTGGTGAAGCCTCATGCTTTGTTGATGGAGTTTCATTGTTTTAGTTTCTTTGTTATATTTAGTTGTGGAGATGATATATGGGATAGGATAAATTTCATTCGATTGTACTAGATGGAAAATGAGACAACTGTTTTAGGCTTCCCCTTTGCTTTTATAAAGCTCTTGCACTTCAAATGTAGTTTTTTAACTATTATGTTCTGTTTATGATGTTATGAAATCTAAGTGGCTTGTATGAGATCTCTCAGGGGCCTATACGACATGTTACAACTAGGATGTACCCTTGGTTCGTGACAGTTTGAGGCTTTATATTTTTGGGGTGCAGATCTATAGGTTGATTTCAGGTGGGTAAAGTATTCTTTATAGGTGATGAGTTGGTACATGAGGCTATAGAAAAAGTCTTGGCTATTATGTAAAGGTTAAAAACGACTCAAAGTGGACAAAAGTCCTATACCATTATTAGAAGAATATATCTTCAGTTTGAAGTAAATGATTGGGTCTACTTGAAAATTTTACTCATAAATTTTGTAATGAGATTTGGTAAGACAGGGAAGTTTAGTGCCCATTATCTGGGCAAATTTTGAGGCGGATAAGTAAGGCCGACTATGATTATGAATTGCTCACTGAGTTGCCAGTGGTTCATCAAGTTTTCCATGTGTCCTTGTTGAATATATGCTTTGGGGATTTAACATCAATAGATCCTAAAAAAAGGTTTGGGAGTTAAGGAGAATCTCTCTTATAATGAGGTTTTGGTTGAGATTACAGCAAAGAGAGTTAAGAAGTTGAGGAACAAAGAGGTCATTCCGTGAGAGTTCTATGAAGGAATTAGATAATTTAGAGTGCTCTTGGGAGGCTGAAGCGGATATGATGTCTTGTTATCCTCTTCTCTTTCCTTTTATCCCTACACAAACTTGAGGTATTTAGTTCTGAATAGATTTCTCTTTGGTGTCATGTGTCTCAGGTATTCCCATGATTCCTCATTATGCAAGACCTATGAAAAGCATAATTTTAAGAAAATAAGGTAACTTGGATTCATTTCTACTTATTTATGTACATTTTATTATGATTTATCTATTGATATCATGATATGATATTTTGAGCATGATTTAGCTTGGATTTGTTGTTTCTTCCTCGGATATGTGCATTTATGTAATTGCAAGTTGTTTGGATGCTAGATTAAGTTCATACCATCCGTATGATGTCCTAAATCTCATTCAACGATAAATGAACCCAAGGAGGAAAATAATGTAACACCTTGGATTCAAACAACATTCTCTAAGATCAGGTGCAAGTTCTAACGAAGCCACCCACGGCCCATGGACTAGCACGCAGACTATAGGTCAGCACCATGGTTGGCCAGCCCAAGATTGAAAAATATCAAGTTTCATTACTTTTTCAATAGTTCACTAAGACGGTCATTTGTTCAATGTAGGATTCATAGGTAGGTTTAGCAGGCCAGTCCTACAATTCGAGAGATGTTTATATCAAAAGTAGAGACCTACAGTCGAGATCCATGGCCCGTCAACCGAATAAAAATTTTAATTGGTTCCCACTAATCAAGTTCCAAAAATCATGGTCTTTGACCCTAAATGATGGTCAACTAGTACGGTTCGTGGTTCAACAAACTAAGCGTAGGTCATTCCATCTATGTGTATTGACAATTATTTACTTAGGGGCTTTTGGATCATTTCCTAATTATTCTAGCCTAATACTGCGACTTTTTACCCTCCATATAATTCCTTGTATAATTATGTTTTACCCCCAATTTCCCCAATTGAAATCATTCCCTCAAATTCCTAAAAGAAGAACATGTCTTCCTCTCAAAAATATTTCTCTCTTTGAAAAGCTTGGATAAGGAATCAACCTAGGGTTTCGATTCATGCATTTATCCCTCCATTGAAGGAAATATTTTTTCAGATGAGGTATGATAGTTTTCATCTATCGATTTTCTTCCCTAGAGTTCCTAAATTTCTCAATTTATAAAGTTAACAATCCCTAATTCAGTTTGGGTTTTCTTCCATGTTATAGTTCCTTTCAACATTGAATTGTTTTTTTATGATATATTTTGCATGAAATGAAATTATTCCATGTTTTTAAGACTAATCCCCATGAACCCATGCGTCCCTCATTTTTTCAAGCCATGACGATATAGTGTGGGGTTTGAACTATGAAAGAAGAATTATAGAATTATGCATGTTCTTATGAAATTGATAAATTATGATGTAAGTCATTGTGAGAGTAAATTATATATGATGTTTTTAGGTTATGTTGTGAAAGGATTTATCATTTTTGCATAAAATCATGAATAGTAAAGGTTTTCTCTTATAAAGGATTCTATGGTTGGAAGGTATTCAAACCTAAAATGAATCAAAGTTAAAGAATTATTCTAATGAAATGTGGTTCGGATTGGTAGTATTAATTGTTCCTTTACATATATAATATATGACATAGCTTGGATTGGCAATATGGTGTGCCCCACCATGGATAATAAATGCATGTTAAGAAAATAAAAATTTTGTGGGTTTTACACTTAGCACCAACAGGATATTGAGATAGAAGCTCACCCATTAGTAGAGGATGGGTTTCTAGTGGCGATGGAAGCTCATCCATTAGTAGAGGATGGGTTTCTATTGGTGATGTCTTTATCACATACCTATGTTCCCCTATAGGATGATTGTCTTAAATAGACATTAGGTAGTTAACCCACAATAGCTAAGAGTTTATGGTCTTACCTTGGGAAGTAGGACATCCTTTTTTGTTGTGGGGAAGACACCCGATTCTTGTGATAGCTCACGTGGTCTTTTATGTCTTTTTGAAGGTATGTTTCTTACATTAAGGAAGTAAGGTTACTTATAGAAGTATTTCTTAAAGGTGTGAAGGATATTATCTTGATTAACCATGTTTACACCCTTTTTTGTGTGGGGAGAACACCGGATTCATGTTGATAGCTCACTTGGTCTTATATGTCGGTCAAAGGTGAATTTCTCAGATTAAGGAACTAGGTTTACTTCATAAGTATCTCATACGAGTTTGAAGGATAATAACTTTCATCGACCATGTTTTATGACTTATACTTTCTAGCTCTTTTACTCATGTTTTAGCCTTGTCATATCATGTCATGAAAAGTTCTTTTAAGCATGATTTATTATATTTTATTCATGGTTATAATACTTAGTGAACTTTTTAATTAACACATAATCTTTCCTACATTTCTTATAAAAATGTATGATCCAACACTCCAGATTATCACTTTTGTGGCTAGCAATCAAGTAGTAAAAGCTTCATGATTGGTGATTCCGCATGTTCCGAGGACCAAGACTTTTCTTTATTATGTTTTTTCATTTGAGTTTTGAACCCGACATACGGGTTATGTACCGATTACTTGTCATGTAATAAATGAGTTTGAGATATTATAAAATCCATTTTTGAATTTGTCTTTGCAAACTCTTGATTTCCATTACTCTTGTATGATTTATTGTAATACACCATGTTACGCCTAGGGTCTACCATTGAGTTGTGATAACACAGGTACTTAAAATATGTACAAGGTTATTTTTTGTTGATCTTGTTACTTGTCTCTCTCTTAAAATTAAGGATAAAGTTGTATTCACATATAATAAGAGAGGTATATTACGCTGGAAAACATAATGAGAGATGTATTTTTTCACAAATAGTAAAATGAAGGTATATGTTCACTATATATATATTAGCATATGAATAAATTAGGCCTTTTCCCATTTTGAAAATTAAGGAACACTAAAATATATGGCAAAAGTAAAATATATTTTAAAAATTAAGGAGTCCTTGAGTATAGCCACGAATAAATACAAATCATTTTACTAATACATAGGTATATTTGAAATTTCCATTAAATAAATTTTAAGCCAACATATATTGTGATTTAACCAATTTGCTTTTTCTAGAGTGTGGAGGGTATAGGGCATATTACTCATTCAACTGTATAATATTGTGGAGTTGTAAATGCAATGTCTCCGATCTCGAAATTCCCCCTCTCTATTATTTACACCACAGGCGATTCAACTCTAGTGAACTGAATTTGCATTTTTTACGGCAGTTATGTGAGTTATGTCTTTCAATTCTATAATTCCCTCTATTCCTTGGTATATCTTTTACGATTCAGATAATAATTTATGTTCTTATGAAGTTATATTTGGAGAATTTGATCTTGTGTTTTATGATGAACTTCTACTTTTGATATGTTTTCATTTTGTAATTTTATTCACCGCAAAATGAGCCTAAATGCTTTGTTATGATTTATTTGAGCTCTAAGTGTGTTTTGAAACATTCTCTTCTACCTGCACAATTTAGAGGTAAGGTTTGTGTACACATTGGTATGTTCTTATTGTTAGACAGTTTAAATTCTATGATCCAACATTTGTCTTTTACAATTCTATTGCATAAGATTTTTATGAGCCTAGGGTATATCGAAAAAAAACTAAAGTTATGGGTTACCGACACAAATAACTTTTCATCCTTTAGTTTATCGATTTGTCTGAATTATATAATTTTGCTCGATACATCAGCTGAAATAACATAAATAATAAATTTTGTATTCAGTAGATTGTATGTGTTCGGATATATTAACAAATATAAACATCTCATTCAAATTTTGTATCAGCCTCTCCATTTTTTGATAAAATAAAATTAACTTAGTGTTTCAATTCTTCCAGTCATAGTTTTTAAAGTAGTTGCGTTTTTAAAGCAAAAAAGTTTTGTATAGAGCATCATGGATACATTAGTGATTCACCAGTGAACACTTTATTCGAAATACATTTGGGAAAGAAAGCATTTCTAATTCAAACTGTCATATTAAATGTTATGCCTACCTAAATTTCATACTTTTATTTTTTCCATATATACACGCCATATTAGTAGAAGAACATTGAAAATATTTTACTAAGTGTGTGATAAGTTGTATAAAAATTGAAGAGAAATAAACAAGATCAAACCAATAACTTCAATAATGCAATTCATATAATATACTAAGTGTTCAATTTGATAAAATTTGTTTTGTTTAATATGTCATAACTCATAATTTAAATATCAAATGTTATTTCAATAGATTTCTTGTACAATCGAGATAGTCATGAGTCACATATACGTATGAATCACACTAGATACATGTACATGTATGTATATGGTGTAATTCATATGTATTTGGTATCCCAAAAACATAGAAGAGTGGTGAGCGAGAGGCGAGGAAGGGGAGAGAAATTTGTTATGTATTCCAAATACATATGTATTTACTTGCATATAGTATATCTAGGCAGAATTATACGTACATTTTACCTGATGTATCCTAATATACATGAAAATAGACATATTGAGACGTATTCAGACGCATTAAAATCTAGTCAATTCATATTATTGCAAATTTAAATGTATCAAAGTAATTAGCTCCTAAAAAAGTTATATTTATGTAATTTTTTGTAGTATAAATAATAAATTTAAAATTCAGTAAATTAAATATGTTTTAGATAATGTACAAGTACCCCCTCAACTTATGCCCGAAATCTTAGAGACACACTTATACTATTCTAAGGTCCTATTACCCCTGAACCTATTTTATCAATAATTTTCAATCCCTTTTAGGCCTATGGTTGACCTTTTTTTCAAGATAGGGCCACGTAAGCCGAAAAGGGGTAAAAATTAATTATAAAATAAGTTCAGGGGGTACTATGACCTTAGTAAAGTATAAGTGTGTCGCTGGGATTTGGGTCATTGGTTGAGGGGGTACTTGTGCATTTTCCCACTCTGTTTTGATCGATTCTCAAATTTCAATTCGAAAGGTCAATTCATTTCTGGATAAACCATAAGTACAACCCCGCTCCACTATAAATGAAATCCAGTGACACATCTTAACTTATGTGGTATCCTATTATCCCCCAAAAAAAATTTGTATTTGTTCACCTTTAGTTACTACGTGAGACCTCAATAAGGTAAGTGACTCCATTTGTACATCACATCACTCCATATGTGTAATTATTTCATTTGTTTTCTAAACATGTTAATTTTTTTACTTTTGCTTTTATTTTTATTTCATAATTATTTTTTTTATCTTGTATCTGAATTGAGTTAAAGCACATAATTTACATTATTTAATTTTTACTTATGTTTCGAAAAAAATCCTTTTTAACCATTATTCATTATTATTTCTATTCTTTTAATTGATTTTATTTTTTTGTCTTTCCTTTTGAATTAATTTGAAAATTGTATTTAAATAAACTAACTTTGAACGAAAAGCAAAATAATTGAATAAATAAAACAAAACATAAGATAACTAAAGTATTTAAATTTAATTAAAAAAATTAACTAATTATTTTTGAAACTATACACATATTTTTAAAAATAAATAAAAGTGAAAATTTAAGAAAAAAAATGTAACAGAAAAAAGTTAAAAATTCAAAGTGGGGGAGAAATTAAAAGAAATATTTTGCGAATAAAGAAGTACAAAAAATTAATTATATATTATTTTTTATGCAAATAATTACGTGTAGTAACTAATTGTAAATATATAAATTCATAAGAAGGCAAGTGCCAAACTTTATAACGTTTTCACATACCTTCAAGAGAATGCACAGAATCTTTCACATGTCACTTTTGTGGTATGTTTATTCAATCATATATATTTATATAAAGGAGAAACATACATGAGGTGATATGACACCTCTCTATGGTCTCCATTCCTATTTATAATTTTTCTTCTTTCTTTGAAATTTAAATGTCTAAATATTTTAATTAATCTTTTAATATTCATTCATAATCACTGGTAATTGATTTATTCAATTTATTGGTAAAAATATTTACCCTCCCTCTCTCCCCACTTCTATTCTTCAAGTTTTCATCTTCTCTTTTAATTATTATTTATAATCTTTTATGACATTAAATGTTTTTTCTTTCTCAAATTCAATTGTGGAGTTTGAAGCATTATCTCCTTTCGTAGTACTATAAATTTCCAACTATTTATGTCATGCAGGAACCTATTCTTCTCACAATTTCTTCCGTTATGATGGGAGTGCTTAGGCAATTTTTAGTTAGCAAATTTTTTTACAAATATTAATATTATATTTTATATGATTTTGAGAAAGATATTTGTATTATACTTTCACCATTATCACTTTAGATGATAGTTTTTTCAATTATTTTGCTTCTTTTGCATCACGATTTCATCATTATCAGTTAGATGACTTTTTTTCAATTGCTTTGCTATTTTATAGATTGTTGAATTTATTTGGAACAAACTATTATATTTTTATAATTTTGTTTTGTAATTTTTTCATGTTATCTTATTATAATGCTTCATTCTTGTATTTATTTCCATTCTAATGTTTTTTTTTTAAATTTTTATTTCTCATTTGATGAATTGAATTTCATCTCAGACTATTTTAACATTAATGTGTAGGATACATCTTTTCTAATTTATATTATATTATGTTGTGGATTATAACAATATGCATTATTTTACTTCTTATATTTATTTGAAATTTATGGGCAAGTAAAAAACGTTGATGATTATTGATGTAACGCCTCTAAAAATGACCTAGGTGAAACTAGAGCCTCACATTTGTGTCGTGATGTTTTAATTCCTAAAAATATAGATTCATAGTGTTTATAGGCAGTATGTAAGGTTTGGAAGTGTTTGGAGATCAAACATCCAAGACGTCCAGAAACTAGTCAAAGTTAAACTAGTGTGTCGTAGTGTTTCTAATGGAGTTTTGGTGGATCATATGAGGGTGAAATTAAGTACCGAGAGTTCCTACGTGTATACAGACATGAAAAGGTTCGAAAAGTTCAAGAACAAAGCCTGTGGGACAAGCCTAAGAGTTCCTAAGGAGGACCCAATCATGGGCCATTGAAGCTGCAAAGCAGCCAAGATCTAGAAGTTGTTGCGCGACCGCACAGCCAGCACGGAATGGGAAAAACTCTTTCCCTGCGACTCGGGGCTGTAACTAACCATTCTGTCTCGAAATTTCCAGAGCCAATATTTGAAAGTGTCTCTGCGATGCACAGTAAACTCCCAGATTTGGTCACATCGTTTTTAAGTCAAATATGAATTGGTTGAATTGTCTAGTGACTGCAGGTGTCTTTTGGGTAATTTGAGGATGACTTATTGGAGGTTAGTGAGTCTTTTTAGACCCAAAAATTAACCAATCAAAGCTGAAAACACAACTCAAAACAAAACCTTTTCATTCTTCTCTTCGAAACCTTCATTAATGATGCTTTGAAACACAAAAAAAGAAGACTGTTTTTCTTAAGTTTTTCTCCATCAATCTTGTGGGCCTTTCATCAAAATTAAGGTATTTTTTTTTCATCCTTGAATCTCTTTTCTTCAAGGAGGCAATTCCAATAATTTTTCCAAAGATGTTAGTTGATCATGATGAGAAAGTTCTTCAAGGTGCTCAATGTGTT